AACGTGTTCTATTCGTCTGCTTCACGTGTTCTATTCGTCTGCTTAACATGTTCTATTCGTCTGCTTCACGTGTTCTATTCGTCTGCTTAACGTGTTCTATTCGTCTGCTTCACGTGTTCTATTCGTCTACCTCACGTGTTTTATACGTGTCGTCTGCTTGCTCCCGCGCGCGTAGGTGCTGCGTGTTGTGCGGCTCATCAAGGCGTCGCCGATGCTCGAGGAGTTTGTCTATAAGATCTTCGGTCCGGGCAAGAAGCTGGGAAGCCTCATCATATTCACCATGTGCCTTCTCATCATCACATCGTCCATCTCCCTGCAGCTGTTCTGCTACGTCACCGAGCTCAAGAAATTCGACACGTTCCCCGAGGTAGGTGGCGCCACTGCCGGCATGTTGCCGTCGCGCTTGATGTAGAATGAAATAGCGTCGGGACCAGGCTGAAATTATTTTGATTTTATTTGAATTGATTTATAATGGATTATTTGTAATTTATTTATATTTATTATGAGTTTGAAAGTAGTTTAAGTGAGTGGACTTAAACTAGGTACATGGTTGACTTGTTAATTATACATTCAGATATTTTTTTAGAAGAATATTGGATGGATCCTTGCTATAAATGTATATGCTATAAGTAAAATATCTCATTTTAATGGCGATCATCGTTTGTATGATGAGAATGTGCTTAGTCATGTCTTCTCATTCGCTTTGATTTCTCACAGAATTTAGTCATTTATATAGTTTATTGTAATATGCCTTTATTTTATTTGTAGCCATATTGATTTGTTCTGTTCGGTATCTTTTAAAAGATAACTATAGTTTTCCTTGCTGGAGATATATAAATTGTAAAAAGACAATGAGCAGTTATTAATTCTGTTTTATAGTGTTGTTTTTTTCATTTATTTAGAAATGAACTTTGACCTTGGGAACAATTCGTTGGAGCTCAGCCAACTCTTAATCTTCAATAATATCTTTAGTTATAATTTCATATTTATCTATGCATTTCTGTTTGATTTACTGTGAGTAATGATAGAACAACATTCACTAACACGTTTTTTATGTGTGTTGATATGCTAAAGAACTAGCAGCAAACCCGACAAATGCATTTGCTCGTGATTTCCTCGTGTTACTCTCTCCTTTCTCAATTCTCTTTTTTCTCTGTATTTGATATCCGGATCTTTCTAGTTCTAGATTTTCTTAATTCATTGGCAAGCACATCAGTTGTTGTGATACTCACTATCTCATCATCGATTACTCTATTTAATTAGATTGTTTAAATGCTGCATCGTTTGTCGTGGTCCTCGCTAACATGGCGTCTGCAGTGACTGCGTGTTTGGTGACTAACTCCCGTGTACAAGCATGCGTGCCCTGTGTCTGTGTTCCAGGCCTTCATGTCCATGTTTCAAATCCTGACGCAAGAAGGCTGGATAGACATCATGATCGAAGCGATGACTAAGATAGGCGAGGGTGTCGCGCCCGTCGTAGCAATATACTTCATCGTCTATCACATGTTCATTACTCTGGTGAGTACCCCCCCCCACCCCCCGCCCAATCCCGATCGACCCCCACCCCCGAGGAAGAACCACCCCCTCTCATACTCTGAGCTGTTCCCCTGAATGCATGTCTAAAATGGTTGACCGACGACTGGTTTCGGTGTTTGGATGTTTGCTTGATCTTGCCTCTGCATGATTGTGCTGTCTTATCTTTCTAACAGGTGCTAGCTTTGCATTCTAGCTTTGTGAAAAATGGATTCTATTTTCCCATCTAATATTCAGTTTTCCAATCGCCAGGTTAGGTCGAAAAAAGGATCTTGAATCTTCATCACAGGCCATCATGGACGACGAGTTACCACCAGGCCATGATAAAAATATTCTTTGTTTCCCTTCACCCGACCGACCCGCCAAAAAGGGGCCGACTCAAAAAATTTTATTGGATCTTTTTTTTAAACAAATTGTATCACTGTACATTATATAAATCTGTAGGCAATACATTATATGTACCAAGCAAAACAAACATTCAACATAAAAGGTATCTCCACACAAGCACACCCGAGCATGTAGACACCATGCTGAATTTGTAAAAAGACCCCCCGCCCTCAAAAAAAGCCGACCTACCTACCCAAACTTTTCAGCCTGGGTCGGGTGAGGGCAAGCAAAGATTTTTTTAATTGTGGCCCCAGTAGTAGGTCTATAGCTGCTTGATCAATAGCCTTAAATTGATTGATTTTTGACATCCTAGTTTTTTAACCGATATTTTCAATGCGCATGTGTTTGAAAATTTAAAACAGGTCTTCATGGGCATGTTCCAAATCCTCACCCAGGAGGGCTGGGTCGAGGTGAAGGATGAGGTTTCTGAGCACCTGCCGCACATGTACATCTTTGTAGAGCTTCTCTTCACGCTCTACCACCTGTTCGTCACCATGGTAACCGCATCTGGATGGTGCACGAGCACGCGCTGGTGTGACTGCATCTCTCGCTATTGCGGGCGTGTCGTTATCTGGTTAACTAACACTGTTCTATTCATAGGATTGAAGTGGTTTGTCAAAAGAAGAGACTGGTGTGTGTTACTAACCTTACTCTTTTGGTTTTTTCTATCTCTGTCATGGTCTTTCTCTCTCTCTATCTCTCTTTCTCTCACTTGTTTCTCTCTGTCTATTTTTCCCTCTCTTCTCTTTCTCTCGATTATGTTTCTTGTTGAACAGGTAACTTTGTCATCACTGAACTGCTGTCTATTGACACTATTGTTCATGTTATTGTTGTTGTTTACATGCTGTTGTTGTTCATGCTGTTCTTATACAGCTTGTCCTGTCTAGTGTTATCTATCGTAGTTCACTCTCCTAGTTAATCATGATTCATCTACTGTGCTGCCATCTAGGATCACGATTGCATGTGATTTGCCAATGTGGTGCTGGGGCCCGTTGTCAGGAACAAAGTTAGTCTTAACATTAGTCTTAACATTAACTTTTTCTCATAGCCTGTTGACAGAAACACGGTTAAGTTACGAGTTTCTCACATGCAGCGTACGCATGTCCGGTCTACGAGGAAACGTCAATTTTAAGATTAATGTTAAGTCTAATTTTGTTTCTGACGACGGGCTCCAGATAATTCCCTACTAAGCGCCGTCAGGTGTGGACTGCACACTGCTTACCGGTGGCAAGTACCAGGCTTCCGGACACCTGTCCAGCGTGTCTATACCAAGCACAGTCCATGCCGGAGTTTGTTTCAAGCTCCTGGTTCCACACGCACCTACGCGCACGCACGCACGCACGCACGCACCCAGTAGAAGCTGTCTGACTTACGCGTGGCCGCCCTGTGTTACCTTGTAGGCTCTGCAGACCGTATTTCAGATGGGAACTCAGGAGTCGTGGCCCGAGATAAAAACGGAGGCCATGTTGGCTCTCGTCGGCACGGAGATAGGCGCGCATGCGGGCCGCCACTACCTGCTTAGCAAGTTCGCGCTCATGTTTCTCTTGACCATTCACTTCTTCGGCACAATGGTACATGCTGCTGCCGCCGCCGCTGCTGTCCCGGCATCGCGGCGTTTCCTGCCAGCATGGCTTCTGATCTCATGACGATTCGCTACCCTAACTATTGGCAATGTGGCTGCCTCTGATTACCCTAACTATTGGCAATGTGGCAGCCTCTGATTACCCTAACTATCGGAAAACATGGTTGCTAGTTGCTACTCAAACTAGGGGGGGGGGTAAAGGGGTATCCTTGGCTACCCTAATTAGTGGCACACATAACTTTTTATGAATACCCTCATTGCTACCAGATACGGCGGTCTGTATTTACCCTAACTAACAAAACACCCTGTGACTACCAAAACTAACGCCAAACTTGGCTATCAGTGGCTATCGTCTTGGGGGTAAAGCGACTTTCTGTGACTACCCTAACTGTCGGACACGCCTGGCAATGACCACCCTGATTACTAGTAGTTACATGGCTTACCGTGACAACCTTAACGCCAGTATCCGGTGTTGGTACCCACAGTGGCTCCTAGGTTTACTGAGTGCCAGTCTAACTATTAGGGTCGGATTTCATGTCATATTCACGTTGTGATGTGTGTGTGTGTGTATGTGCAGTATATGTTATGTTGGTCATATATATATATATACACATATGATACGTTGTAAAGTGCACTAAATCCTGTGATCGATGTGTGCAATCGTGTACGGCGCCTGTGCAGTCGACTGTATATATAGTCTGTAACTAATATCATGTTTTGTGTTTTCTGGTTAAATACTCCACCCCCTTGCCTAATTGCTGCCTTATAATGCTTGCACTCTTGGAAAAGTAATCCAAGAAAGAGATAGAGAGAGACGGGCGAGACCGGAGGAGTAGAGAGAGAGAGAAGAGAGAGGATCAGAGAAGAGAGACGAAAGAGAAGAGCAGAGGGAAGGAGAGTGATGGAGGACTGAGGCAGAGTAGAGAGAGCAGAGAGAGAGACCGAGGATAAGAGAGCAAGGAGAGTAGAGAGAGAGAGAAGCCAGAAGGATATAAGGACAAGAGCAGAAGAGGGAGACGACGAGAGAATATGCTGATGCGTGATGCATTGAGGAAAAGAGAAGAGAGAGAGAGAGAGGGAGAGAGAGAGAGAGAAGAGACGACAAGTGAATGTGCACTTACGGAGTGTGTGCG